TACTTTCATTACATGCTATATCATACCTTGTATATTTATTTACCCTCTTTTTCATAAAATATGTATTACTTATTACCAAACCTCTTTCTACTAATAGCTCAATTAAAGGCTTCCCATTTTCATTTACCCCAAATTTACCTACTATTCCCTCCAGAACATTTTTACCCACTTTAGCATTGAAATCCCCAACCATAAGTACTCTCACACTTGGTTCAAAACTCCCCATGCACTCACTCAACATTTCCCAAAATCTCTCTCTCTCCTCTGCACTTCTCTCTTCTCTAGGTGCATAAATGCTTACTATAACCCACTTTTCACATCCAACCCTTATTTTTCCTTGAATTTATACATTTTTATTCCCTCTTTTCTTGCCATAACTTATCCTTCAACATTATTGCTACTTCTTTAGCTCTAACTCTATTTGAAACCCCTGACCTAATCCCATTTATTTCTTCCCACTGAAACTCTCCCACCCCCTTCAGCTCTGTTTCACTTAAAGGCAGGACATCTAGCTTTTTCTCATTCATAACATCCAGAATCATCTCTTTCTTATCATTCGCACAACATCCACGCACATTCAAACATCCCACTTTAATGGTTTTTCTTCTTTTTCTTTTTAGTAGGCTACACAGGAAAAGGGGTTACTAGCCCATTGTTCTCAGCATTTTGTTGACTCTTTCAACACGCATGGCTTACAGAGGAAAGATTCTTATTCCACTTCCCCAAGGATATAAAAGGAAAAGCAATAAGAACAAGAAGTATTAAGATAAACTCAAAGAAGACTCAGATGAGTGTGTATATATAAACATGTACATGTATGTGAGGTGTGACCTAAGTGTAAGTAGATGTAACAAGATGTACCTGAAATCGTGCATGTTTATGAGATGGAAAAAAGACACCAGCAATCCTACCACAACGTAAAACAATTACAGGCTTTCGTTTTACACTCACTTGGCAGGACGGTAGTACCTCCCTGGGTGGTTGCTGTCTACCAACCTACTACTTATATTTATTATTTTTATTATTATTATATACAGTACTCCTGCATATCCAAAACATTGCTGGGACCTATAAATACTATGTATGTATTTCTAGACAATAGTCTGTGACTAAGGTAGGTAAAAATGTTCACCTGTCACTGTGTTTGTGACTACTTGAGTACTATTTCAGTACCTAATATTAGTATCAGAACAAAGATTAACTATGAAATCACAAGTTTTACTACAAATTGCAAATATAAGAACATAAAAATTATACAAATTAAAAAAAATGAGAAAAAAGGTATATCGGCAACACTTCTGCAAGTAGCAGTGCTTCATGTTGCTGTCAAATGAGCCTTATAGCTCCATAAGTATTGACTCTAGATTTGTTTTTACATTACCTGGAGTTTACTTGGAGAGAGTTCCGGGGGTCAACGCCCCCATGGCTCGGCCTGAGACCAGGTCTCATGGTGGATCAGGGTCTGAGCAACCACGCTATTACTGCCGGCCACATGCAAACTGACATATGAACCACAGCCTGGTTGGTCAGGTACTGACTTTAGATGCCTGTCCAGTGCCTTCTTAAAGACAGCCAGGGGTCTATTGGTAATCCCCCTTATGTATGGTGGGAGGCAGTTGAACAGTCTTGGGCCCCCGGACACTTATTGTGTTGTCTCTCAGTGCACTCGTGGCACCCCTGCTTTTCATCAGGGAAATCTTGCATCTCCTGCCAAGTCTTTTGCTTTCATAGGGAGTGATTTTCGTGTGCCGGTTTGGTACCAGTCCTTCCAGAACCTTCCAAGTGTATATTATCATGTACAGTATCTCTCTCGCCTGCGTTCCAGGGAATACAGATCAAGGACCTTCAACCGTTCCCAGTAATTCAGGTGCATTATCGTACTTATGTGTGTTGTGCAAGTTCTTTGCATGCTCTCGAGGTCTGCAATGTGGCCAGCCTTGAAGGGGGCCATTAGTGTACAGCAGTATTTCAGCCTAGAGAGAACAAGCGATTTGAAGAGTGTCATCATGGGCTTGGCATCCCTAGTTTTGAAGGTTCTCATTATCCATCCTATCATTTTCCTAGCCGATGAGGTTCATACAGTGTTGTGGTCTTTGAAGGCGAGATCCTCTCACATTATCACTCCCAGATCCTTCACATTTCTTTGTCACTCTATTGTATGTTTAGAATTTGTCATATACCCTGATACATATTTAATTTCCTCAAGTTTTCCATATCTGAGTAGTTGAAATTTCTCCTCGTTGAACTTCATATTGTTTTGAGTGGTCCATCTGAAGATTTGGTTGATGTCCGCTTGGAGTCTTGCAATGTTTTCGATGGAGGTCACTGCCATGGCAATCCGGGTGTCATCCACAAGGGAAGACACGAGATATGGCTTACATTTCTGTCTATGTCAGAAATGAGGATAGTTTATTATTATAGATAGATAGTTTATTAAGACATGATACATAGTTGTACAAGGAATTATAGTAGTTGGGTGTACATGCCAAAAGCCCCTTGCATGCAGAGCATTATGGGCAGGCTTAAAATTAACTTAAGATTAACTAAGATATAATAGATTCAATGGTAAAAGTTACAGTAAACATCCCATATCATAAAAATCTTTGAGAGGGTTCTAAGAAGCAAGGTTGCCAACCACCTAGATACCCATCAATTACACAACCCAGGGGAACACGGGTTTAGAGCAGGTTGCTCCAGCCTGTCCCAGCTCCTGGACTATGACAAGGTCCTGGATGCTGCTGAGGATAAACAAAATACAGATGTAGTATGCACAGACTTTGCAAAAGGATGAGGAATAGAATGGAAACAAGTACTGTGCCTTGTGGAACAGAGCTTTTCACGGTGGCTGTCTGGGACTTTACTCTGTTTACAATTACTCTTTATGTTCTATTTGTCAGGAAGTTACAGATCCATCTAATAACTATTCCTGCTACTCCTTTATCATGCATTTTGTGTGCTATTACACCACGGTCACACTTGTCAAAAGCTTTTGCAAAGTCTGTGCATACTACATCTGTATTTTGTTTATCCTCAACAGAATCCAGGACCTTGTCATAGCGGACATCAACCAAATCTTCGAATGGGCCACTCAAAACAATATAAAGTTCAACGAGGAGAAATTTCAACTACTCAGATATGGAGAATTTGAAGAAATTAAAAATGTGGTGTCAAGGTATACCACAAATTCTAACCATACAATAGAGCAGAAAAGTAATGTGAAGGACCTGGGAGTGATAATGTCAGAGGATCTCACCTTCAAAGACCACAACAATGTATCTACCTCATCCGCTAGGAAAATGATAGGCTGGATAATGAGAACCTTCAAAACTAGGGATGCCAAGCCCACGATGATTCTCATCAAACCACTTGTGTTCTCTAGGCTGGAATACTGCTGTACACTAACAGCCCCCTTCAAGGGGACCTGGAGAGTGTACAAAGAACTTTCACTGCACATATAAGTGCGATAAGGCACCTAAACTACTGGGAATGGTTGAAGGTCCTTGATCTGTATTCCCTCAAATGCAGGTGAGAGAGATACATAATAATATACACTTGGAAGGTCCTGGAGGGATTGGTACCAAACCTGCACACGAAAATCACTCCATATGAAAGCAAAAGACTCGGCAGGAGATGCAACATTCCCCCGATGAAAAGCAGGGGTGCCTTGAGTACACTGAGAGACAACACAGTAAGTGTCCGGGGCTCAAGACTGTTCAACTGACTCCCACCATACATAAGGGAGATTACCAATAGACCTCTGGCTGTCTTCGAGAAGGCACTGGACAGGCATCTAAAGTTAGTACCTGACCAACCGGGCTGTAGTTCGTATGTCAGCTTGCGTGCGGCCAGCAGTAACAGCCTGGTTGATCAGACCCTGATCCACCATGCGGCCTGGTCTCAGACCGGACCGCAGGGGTATTGACCCCTGAAACCCTCTCCAGGTAAACTCCAGGTAAGTGATCCAGTAGCTGGGACAGGCAGGAGAGACCTGCTCTAAACTCATGTTACCTTGGGTTGTGTAACTGATGGGTATCTAGGTGTTTGGCAATCTTGCTTCTTAGAACCCTGTCAAAGATTTTTATGATAAGGGATGTTAGTGCTATCGTTCTGTAGCTCTTTGCAATTGTTTTACTGCCACCTTTGTGGAGTGGGGCTATGTCTGTTGTTTTTAGTGTGTGGGATGACCCCTGTATACATGTTCCCTCTCCATAAAATGCTGAAGGCACGCGATAGGGACTTCTTACAATTCTTGATGAACACGGAGTTCCATGCATCTGGGCCTGGGGCAGAGTGCATGGGCATGTCATTTATTGCCTTTTCAAAATCTTGTGGAGTTAGGATAATATCCGAGATTTCTGAGATGACCAAATTTTGGGTTTCATTCATAAAGAATTCATTAGATTGTCGACCCTTAGTCTGGGCAGCGACTCGCTGCCCATCTGTCATCTGTGTATGTCCCATCCTGCCTAAGCAGGGGATCAATACTGGATGTTGTTTTTCCCTTAGATTTGGCACAAGAGAAGAAGTACAGTGGACCCCCGCTTAACGATCACCTCCCAATGCGACCAATTATGTGAGTGTATTTATGTAAGTGCGTTTGTATATGTATGTTTGGGGGTCTGAAATGGACTAATCTACTTCACAATATTCCTTATGGGAACAAATTCTATCAGTACTGGCACCTGAACATACTTCTGGAATGAAAAAATATCGTTAACCGGGGGTCCACTGTATTTAGGTTTTTATCAGTTTCCTTTATGGCTTTTAGTTCTTCCTAAGATTCTTGTCTCCTGTAAGATTCCTTCAGCTTAAGTTAGATATTTGCAATTTCAATTTCAATTACTTTATGTAAAAAAATGTCCTCTTCATTTAAAAAAAAAAAAAAAATTGAAGCACTGGGCGAGTGAACGTAGATCTACGTTTGGACAGTTAAGGGGTTAAACAAAAATAATAATAATTTTGCTTATTTTGCTATTTTTTTAAGATATAATTCAACCAACCTTATTCTTTCTACTAACTGAGGATTCACTGCAAGCTCTTTGCAACATGTTGTTAGTAGATGACTGTATTTCATTTGAGCTCTCTGGAAATCAACTTCAATAAAGTCTGGGTCATCTGTGTTAGCCACTCGAACTTTTAACACCAGTTCTGAAAAATAAAATAAATGGTATGACTTTTTAATAAATTTACATTCACATTATATTAAACATTTCTGACATTAGCATGAGGTGTACAGTATGTAAATATAACTTGACACAACTTTATCCATCTCTAGTGATCTTTCTTTGGTCAACATAGAGTAGTACCTGTAGTACGATACAGCATTTTTGTCACAGATATATCTAGACATTATTTTACTCCTAGCATACACATCAATGTTTCTTTTCACTAACACATAGTAAGGAAATGTCAATTTTTAAGCGATCAATTAAATCTCAATTCTTCTCATACAAAATTAATCTGGAAACCAATTTCATTTAGAAAACAATACAATGGAAATATTTATAGCATTAGTTTCACACTTATTTGGGATAGTTAGGAAGTACAATAAGCGTTTCTCACGTTAAATTCAATACTATACTTACCTTTGGTTTGCCTTGCAAAATAATCATAATTGGAAGGTGGGTTAGGTACTGGCCCAGGAGCTGTAGCATGACTTGCTGCATTTTGGTGACCATTGCCTTCCCCTAATCCATTAGTGATGGGCTTTCCAGAGAGGGTTTTAGCACCAATTGCAACTTTGTAGTCTATGGGTGGGTGTGCCAAGTAGTTTGGTGTTATTGGAAGGGAATCAGAGTTTGCTGTTGTTCCTTCACTTGAGACACCAGCCTCCACACCTTAACAGAAAATAAAGTCTGAGTATAAATTGTTTTTTGAAGCCAGTCGCATACTAAAGTACCATTTGGTGGTCTGCTACACTTTTTATATGCTGATCTATGACTAACGCAAGTGGGACTAAAGCAAGGAGCAGCTAGAACTGAAGTGACCAACTTTGCCTAATACTACTGAAAGATCAACAGATGAGGCATAAATGACTTTTACTGTATAACTGGGCCCAATGACTCTCTCCCAAAAATATTTTGCCTCCCACTCATATTACAGTATTATATGCTACAAAGCAGTGTTTTCCACTCAATGACCAGAGATGCCAAACAATGATCCATTACGTCCCATAAAATCAGTGGTCAAGTATTTACAAACATCTAAGAATTGGCCAAAATACACAGTGGGGCTTCAAGTGTTAAATTTGCTAGCTTTAGGGAAATTTTACCACAATTTCCTCATTTTAGTAAGTCAGCCTATTGAACTCAGATTTACTTTCTTCCCTATAATTTATTTCATTCCACTTAAGAACATAAGAAAGAAGGAAAACTGCAGCAGGTCTACTGACCCATGCGAAACAGGTCCATCCCCCCCCCCTCCTGGATTAGCCTAATGACCCACCTAATCAGGTCACTTCCACTTAATGAAGGAGCACCGCATCAGATCTAGTAGCACAAGCTAGTCAGGTCCAACTCACACCCACCCACACCCACTCATGTATTTATCTAACCTATTTTTAAAGCTACACAACGTTTTAGACTCAATAACTGTACTCAGGAGTTTATTCCATTCATCCACAACTCTATTATCAAACCAGTGCATTCCTATATCCTTCCTGAATCTGAATTTTTCCAACTTGAAACCATTGCTGCGAGTCCTGTCTTGGCTGGAAAATTTCAGCACGCTATTTAAATCCCCTTTATTTATTTGTTTTCCATTTATACACCTCGATCACATCCCCCCTAATTCTACGCCTTTCAAGAGAGTGCAAATTCAGGGCCCTCAGTCTATCCTCATAGGGAAGATTCCTGAAACATGGGATCATCTTTATCATCCTCCTCTGTACGTTTTCCAGTGCATTTATATCCATTTATATAATTTATATAATTCTGTAATACGGTGACCAGAACTGCGCAGCATAATCCAAATGAGGCCTAACCAAGGATATATAGAGTTGAAGAACAACCTGAGGATTTCTATTATTTATACTTCTAGATATGAAGCCAAGAATTCTGTTAGTTTTATTGCAAACACTAATGCACTGTTGCCTTGGTTTCAGATTACTGCTAACCAGAACTCCTAAATCCTTTTTGCAATCAGTAGTATATTAAAATCTACATTATTTAGTTTATATGTGGCATGGTTATTTCCCTGTCCAACATTTAGAACTTTGCATTTGTCTATATTAAACTGCATCTGCCATTTCTCTGAAGGTGTTGGTGGATCTGTACTCACCTCTACCTTAGTCCTGCCTCTAACAAGTCTTATTTTATGAGTGAATCCACATTTTCTAGAAACTAAGCTAATTTCCACACATCACATTCCCAGGCCACCATCACAGGAATGATCACTAAAATTTAAAAACATATTAAGGTGCTCAATCTTTAAAATATTATGTAAATAGCTACAAAGTAAATAGCACATTGTTGCAGCATTCACATATATTGAAATGGTGACCATCCCCATGCAATGGGTCAATCCATGAATTAGTTTTCCCGACTCGGTGGATTCTGGTAATCTAGAGTATCTAAGCTAAAAGAATGCTAGGCCCATTGCAGAACAATACTTGTTGTTGGCTGCTCTGTGAAGCACTGTGTGGTGATGTTCCCTCCAGTGTATTTAAATGGTACATACTCTATTTTCAATCTTTCACTGCCTGTACTTTTTTGTCACTTTCATTACCATGTTTAACTGACTCACAAAATTGTAATGACATGATTGCAAACAAACTATACCACGGGATAGTCACTCGATATTGCCAGCTAGTGTAAAACTTGTGTGGTAAGAGACCGACACATTAATATTATTCACATAATACAAAGTATTTATACCAAGCAGCTGCAGGATCTGTGGATTGGTAGTAAGTTGTGCTGGTGTTTGCAACTGGTTATTTTCTAGTTCTGGATCAGCACCATTTGCCAAGAGTAAATGAACAATTTCAAGATTGCCTCTCTTGCAAGCCCAGTGTAGACCTGTCCTGCAAACAACAAGCACGAATCATTAATAAAACAGGAGGAGATAATGCTGTGCCTGGATCACTAATAAAATATAGGTGAAAATAATTACTGTATAACAGGCAGTAGGTTGGTAGACAGCAACCACTCAGGGAGGTACTACCTTCCTGCCAAGTGAGTGTGAAACAGAAACCTGTAATTGTTTTACATGATGTAAAGATTGCTGGTGTCATTTTTCTGTCTCATAAACATGCGGGATAACAGGTATATCTTGCTACTTCTACTTGCACTTAGGTCACACTACAGATGCATGCATATGCATATGTATTTACACACCCATCTGGGTTTTCGTTTATTTTCTTAATATTTCTTGTTCTACTTTATTTCCTCTTATCTCTATAGGGAAGTGGAAAAGAGTTCTTCTTCCACAAGTCATGCAAATTGTAAGAGGAGACTAAACTGCCAGGAGCAAACGGCTAGTAACCCTTTCTCCTGAATAAATTACTAAATTTAAAAAGTGAAAATAATTACTGTATATAATAACACAACTGGAGGAGATAATGCTATCTGCATCATTAATAAATATAATTACTGTATAATAACACAACTAGAGGAGATAATACTGTGTCTGCATCACCAATAAAGACAGGTGAAAATAATTACCGTATAAAAATATTTGCTGACAATATTTTGCAGTGCTGACCTGATGAAGAGTAATATTAACCCACCACTTGCAATGGAGACCCACTGATTTTATAATTTCCTCACTTCCAGTGGTGATCCACTGAATTTCATAATCCCCTCACCTCCAATGGTGAGCTCACTGAATTTTAAAATCTTCTCACTTCTAATGTTGATCTACTGAATCAGGACAATGCTGATTCACTAAATCTTAACATCCTTTCCCCTCCACTGTTGACTCATTTAATCATAATATTCCTTCCACCACTAAACTGAACACATTTCTCCCTCCAGTTTAAATTCACTGAATCATAAAATTCCTGACCCATATATTTCCAGAGTACTGTTCATGCACTAGTATTTCCCACCTCCAAAATACACAGGTAAAATTAAGAGAGAACAGGTTGTTAGCACACCTTAAAAAAAACACAAACCATTCTTTAATACATGTACATGAATTATGATTTTAGTGTGAATAAAATAATGCAGATTTACCAGCCATTTATATCATGTTTACTGTTGATGTTGACACCTCTGGAAACCAACGCTAAGATGGCCTCAGTGTCACCATAGCAACATGCTTCACGTAGCTTCTCCTCATTCTGCTTCTGAACATCCATTCCAGGCCACTCTGAAACAGAGACGACACTTTCTTAAAAACTAATGATGATGCATTTTGTGTTATTAAAAGGAATTCCTCATGCACTAGTGCATATTATTATTATAACATGGGCAAGTACAGTGGACCCTCGGGTAATGATTTTAATCCGTTCAAGAGAGCTTGTCCTTAACCGATTTTGTCATTAGCCGATTTAATTTTCCCTATAAGAAATAATGGAAATCCAATTAATCCATTCCAAACAGCCAAAAGTATTAAACAAAAAAAAATTTTTTCACATGAAATATACATTTCTCTACACAGAAAACAATGAGATATGCACAATAAATACATAAATAAATGCTAAAATGACATTTACCTTTATTGAAGAGTATTGATGAGTGATGAGACGCCATTTTTCTTGAACACTCTGGGATTTTGTGAGCGATACATGAGTAAAGGGCTCACTTTGCAATCCCCACTAGCATTACAACAAAACATGAGAGTTAGCTTGTCTTTCATAGGCTTGTGTCCTGGGAGGGCCTTTTCCTCCTGAGTAATGTAGGTCCTGTTTGGAATTTTCTTCCAGAACAGACCTGTTTCGTCACAACTGAACACTTGTTGGGGTTGGAATTTTTCAACTTCACCATGCCTTATCACACTGTGTATGCCACTACAATTTTTAAATCTCTCAAACCAACCTTTGCTGGCCTTGAATTCACCAATATAAGCACTAGTTCCAGGCATTTCTTCCTGTTCACCTGGGTGTTAGTCGACTTGTGTGAGTCGCATCCTGGGGGACAAGATTAACCCTTTCAGGGTCGAGAGGCCCTCTCCTAAACTTGTTCTCAGGGTCAAAAATTTCTCGGAAAAAAAAAAATTCTCATGAAATGATAATCTTTTCATGATCATAATGGCACCAAAAGTATGAAATTTTATGGAAAACTTATGGAATTATGCTCTTGCTAAGTTAGCGGTCTCAACAATGTTGGCGCATCGGCCCTGTTTTCGGCCATTTCAGTGTACTATTCGACAACAATCATATCTATTTCGCTAGAACTCCATTTCTTCTATCGAATGAGTACAAGAAACCACCCATTCACGAATTTCAAGTATCCAATAAAGTGGTCAGAAATTGGCGATTTTGCCAGTTTCACACAAATTTCAAAAGATGTCAATTTCCAATTTCCAAGACAGACATTCCTGGCACTAAAATAACATTTTCTCTGTTCATTAGACACGTCCCCAGGCCCCTCTTACATCTCTTTTGCTTTCCACTTTGAATTTTTATTCTCACAAAAAATAGAAGATTTACTGTTATGCAGACTACTGCATTAGTGTAGAAATGATGTAGAAATGGTATAAATAATATCAGTGCACTTGTGAAAGAATATTAGACTCACCAGCTGACGTGTATTGGTTGCTTGGCATGATTTGTTTACTTTTGAAATTTGGTAAAAGTCAAACATTTCTGCTACTTTGAGTTCAATTTCAAGGTACTTTTCATTATGAAACCAATCAAAATCATCTCAATTTCTGTAGTATGTCTTCCATTCTAAAATACAAGACCAGGAAAACTAGAATATAACCATAAATACCATACGAAAATACACTTCAAAGTCGCTGTTTTAAACCAAAAACACGGTGTTTTTTTTTTCTCATTATGTGCTGTGTGCTGCAGGTTTTTTTTATACTGTGCACACTGACCACATAGACCCATTCTTTCATATGTAGGCCTACCAGCTTTCTCTCACTAGATTTGAAGGCACTAGAATTTAGGCGTTCTAGTACATCAATAACCCTGGTGTGTAAGCCGTACTAGTACGTCAGAAACCCTGAAAGGGTTAAGGACCCCAATGGAAATAAGGTAGACAGTCCTCGATGATGCACTGACTTTCTTGAGTTATCCTGGGTGGCTAACCCTCTGGGGGTTAATTGTTTCTCGGTACATGTGATTGTTTCTCGTTTAGTCACATCAACAACAGTCTCTCCACATCTTCGAGTAGTACAGCTGACGGTGGTGCAGCAGCAGCTGATGGTGGTGCAGCAACAGCTGATGGTGGTGCAGCAGCAGCAGCTGACCGTGGTACAGCAGCAGCTGACGGTGGCGCAGCAGCAGCTGACAGTGGTGCAGCAGCAGCTGATGGTGGTACAGCAGCAGTTGATGGTCGTGCAGCAACAGTTGATGGTGGTGGAGCAGCAGCAGCAGCTGACCGTGGTACAGCAGCAGCTGACGGTGGTGCAGCAGCAGCTGACGGTGGTGCAGCAACAGATGACAGTGGTGCAGCAACAGCTGACGGTGGTGCAGCAGCAGCTGACAGTGGTACAATAGTATTCTGATAGTATTTTGATAGTATTTCTCATCCTTTTTACTACAGGGTTGGCACTAGAAGCTTTCTTTGGGCCCATGGTGGCTTACTTAGCAGTTACAAGCACTAAAAACTTTGGAATAATACAAAATTTATCAAATGTATGCGTGGCTTGAGAGATTTAAGAAGTGTACTGGCATACACAGTGTGATAAGGCATGGTGAGGCTGCCAGTTCTGACAACAAAGCGGCTGAAAAATATGTGCAGGAATTCAAGGAGTACATAGAGGCTGAAGGACTGAAACCTGAACAAGTGTTCAATTGTGATGAAAGAGGCCTCTTTTGGAAGAAAATGCCAAAGAGGACCTACATTACTCAGGAAGAAAAGGCACTGCCAGGACACAAGCCTATGAAAGAGAGGCTGACACTCATGTTCTGTGCTAATGCTAGTGGGGATTTCAAAGTGAAGCCGTTACTAATGTATCATTCTGAAAATCCCAGAGTGTTCAAGAAAAACAATGCTATGAAGAGTAAATTTTGTGTGTTTTGGAGATCTAATAATAAGGCATGGGTCACAAGGGACATTTTCGTTGAGTGGTTCAATGAAGTGTTTGGCCCTAGTGTGAAGAATTACCTCCTGGAAAAGAAATTGGATCTCAAGTGCCTCCTAGTAATGGACAATGCACCTGCTCATCCTCCAAACTTGGATGACCTAATTCTGAAGGAGTTTGGGTTCATCACAGTAAAGTTCTTGCCCCCGAATACCACTCCTCTCCTCCAGCCCATGGACCAGCAAGTCATTTCAAACTTTAAAAAACTCTACACCAAAGCAATGTTTGAAAGGTGCTTTAATGTGACCTCAGACACTCACTTGATCCTAAGAGATTTTTAGAAAGAACACTTCAGTATTCACCATTGCATAAGCCTTATAGGTAAGGCTTGGGAGGGAGTGACTTCCAGGACTTTGAACTCTGCTTGAAGAAAACTGTGGCCAGATTGTGTCCACAAGAGGGATTTTGAAGGGTTTGAGGCAGCCCCTGATGAGCCTATGTCAGTTGTGAACTCTATTGTGGCATTGGGGAGTTCCATGGGGTTGGATGTGAGTTTGGAGGATGTGGAAGAGTTGGTGGAGGACCACAACGAAGAGCTAACCACTGAGGAGCTGCAAGAGCCTCAGCAGGAAGAGCAACAGATCGCTGCTCAGAATCTTGCTGCAGAGGAGGAGGAAGAGAGATGGAAGAAGGTGCCTTCTTCGGAAATTAAGGAGATTTTTGAAATGTGGGGTAGGATGGAAAGATTTATGGAAAAACATCACCCTGAGAAGGATGTTGCAAGCCATATCAGCAACTTGTACAGTGACAGAGTCTTGGCCCATTTTAGGGAAGTTTTAAAGAGATGCCAGAAACAGAGCTCTCTGGACAGTTTTTTTGTGAGACAGGACTCCAGTGACTCTCAAGCTGGTCCTAGTGGCATTAAGAAATAGAGAAGTAACCCCAGAAAAGCAATTGATACCTGAGCTGCTGATGGAAGGGGATTTCCCTTCCAAACAGTAAATAATCCAATCTCTCTCTTTCTTCAGTCTTCCATACACAAAGAAGAATCGCCAATAAAGGTAAGTGTTATTCTGTTAATGTTTCATTCATCATGTGCCATTGTATTGTTTATGTACTACATCTATATTTCATGTAAAAAAATTTTTTGTTTTAATACTTCTGGGTGTCAGGAACGGATTAATTGTATTTACATTATTTCTTATGGGGAAAGTTGATTCGAAAATCGTCTAGTTCAATAATAGTCCCACTTCCAGGAACGGATTATGGATGATTATTGAGGGACCACTGTACTCGAAGATGTGGAGAGACTGTTATTGGTGTGGATCACTGACAAACAATTATCAGGAGATAGTGTTTCACAATCAATCATATGTGAAAAGGTAAGGCAGTTGCATGATGATATCATTAAGAAAATGCCTGGAACTAGTGCTGATGTTAGTGAATTTAAGGCCAGCAAAGGTTGATTTGAGAGATTTAAGAATCATAGTGGCATACAGTGTGATAAGGCATGGTGAGGCTGCCAGTTGTTACCAAAAAGCAGCTGAAAAATATGTGCAGGACTTCAAGGGGTACATAGAGGCTGAAAAATTAAAACCCCAATAAGTGTTCAATTGTGACGAAACAGGCCTGTTTTGGAAGAAAATGCCAAACAAGACCTACATTACTCAGGCAGAAAAGGCACTCCCAGGACACAAGCCTATGAAAGACAGGCTAACTCTCATGTTTTGTAGTAATGCTAATGGGGATTGCAAAGTGAAGCCTTTACTCGTGTATCACTCTGAAACTCCCAGAGTGTTCAAGAAAAACAGTGTCGTCAAGCGTAGTTTGTGTGTGATGTGGAGGGCAAACAGTAAGGCATGGGTCACTAGGGACATTTTCCATGATTGGTTCTATCATGTGTTTGGCCCCAGTATGAAAAAATACCTCCTGGAAAATAAATTGGACCTCAAGTGCCTCCTGGTATTAGACAGTGCTCCTGCTCATCCTCCAGACTTGCAAGAACAAATTGTGGGAGAGTAGAGTTTCATAAAAGTGAAATTTTTGCCTCCTAACACCACTCCTCTCCTCCAGCCCATGAACCAGCAGGTCATTTCAAATTTCAAAAACTGTACACCACAGCAGTGTTTCAAAAGTTCTTTGAAGTGACCTCAGACAATGAATTGACCCTAAGAGAGTTCTGGAAAGATCACTTCAGTATCCTCAGTTCCTTATAGATAAGGCTTGGGAGGGAGTGACTTGCAGGACTTTGAACTCTGCTTGGAGAAAATTGTGGCCAAAATGTGTACAAGAGAGGGATTTTGAAGGGTTTGGGGCTAACCCTGAGAAGCCTATACCAGTTGTGGAATGTATTGTGTCATTGGGGAAGTCCATGGGGTTGGCGGTTAGTGGCAAAGATGTGGAAGAGTTGGTAGAGAACGACAATGAAGAGCTAACCACTGATGAGCTGCAAGAGCATCTGCAACAGCAACAGACCACAACCAAAGATATTGCTTCAGAGGAGGAGGCAGAGAGATGGAGGAAGTTGCCTTCTTCAACGATTAAGGACATTTGCACAATGTGGACAAAGGTGCAAGGCTTTATGGATGAACATCACCCTGACACAGCTGTTGCAAGCCGTGCTGGTGACTTTTACAATGACAATGTTGTGTCCCATTTTAGAGAAATCTTAGAGACACGCCAGAATAAGAGCTCTATGAACAGATTTTTGGTGCTACAGAGGCCCAGTGACTGTCAAGTTGTTCCCAGTGGCATTAAAAAACAAAGAAGGGAAGTAACCCCAGAAAAGGACTTGCTACCTAAAGTCCTTATGGAAGGGGATTCCCCTTCCAAACAATACTAAACGTCCATCATCTCCCCTCCTCCCATCTCATTACTCATCAATAAGTCTTCAATAAAAGTAAGTGTCATTTTATGAATTATTACTGTATTCATTCTTCATGTCTCATTGTTTTCTGTGTAGGAAAATGTATATTTCATGTGAAAATTTTTTTTAATACCTTTGGGTGTCTGGAACGGATTAACTGGATTTCCATTATTTCTTAAGGGGAAAATTAAATCAGATAACGATAAAATCGGTTAAGGACAAGCTCTCTGGAACAGGTTAAAATCATTAACTGAGGGTCCACTGTACTACTATTTAGAAAGCCTCTTGTTATGCAAAACATTCTGGGCAAATTAGGTCAGTTTTGTCCCAGGATGCAACCCACACCAGACAGCCACCAGGCCATGGGGCCTGGTGGCACTGGGAGCCCCTTTCAAGGCAGGCAAAACTGGAAACCTGGTGAATATACAGAGAACTTTTACTGCACATATAAGTACCATGAAGCACCTAATTTACTGAGAACGGTTGAAAGACCTCAACCTGTACTCCTTAGAAAACAAGTGAGAAAGATACATATATGATAATATACACTTAGAAAGTCCTTGAGGGACTAGTCCCAAATCTACACACTGAAAACACTCCCTACGAAAAGAAAAGACTTGGCAAGGGGTGCAACATCCCCTCAATGAAAAGCAATGGCACCATGAGTATGCTAAGAATCAACACAAGAGGTGTCCAGGGCCCAAGACTGTTCAACTGCCTCCCAGCATAAGGGGGATTACCAATAGACCCCTAGCTGTTTTCAAAAGGGAACTGGACAGACACCTAAAACCAGTACCTGACCAGCCAGGCTGTGGCTCGTATGTTGGTCTGCGTGTGGCCAGCAGTAATAGCCTGTTGATCAGGCCCTGATCGACCTGGTCATGGACCAGGTCTCATGGTGGATCAGGGCATTCCGAGGGTCAACACCCCACAGGGGCATTGACCCTCAGAATGCCCTCAAGGTATACTCCAGGTATTATTAGGTCAACCAGGTCTAGTGGATAACACACTGGCCTGCGAGTTTTAAGATTCACTTGCCATGGGTTTAAGGCCCACTAGTTGCAAGATGTGTAAGTAAGTAAGTAAGTTTATTCAGGTATACACAAACACAGTTACATAGATTATCATACATAGCAGCATATGTGTAGAGAACCTGGGATAACCCAAAAAAGTCAGAGTGACTTATGGATTTAACTAAGAATAATCCAACAAATCTAAATTTTATTTCCTCTGGGACCCACAAGATAGTAAACACCATGACAGATAAGATAAAATCACTCATAGACAATGAACACACAATTCTGGCTGCTCGATTGCATCAGCATACATGACTAGTTTACAATGACTTAATAAAACATTACAAATACCAAAAACATTCGAAATTATTACTGGATTTATGGGAAAGCACTAAATCCATAGGGGTTGTACAGCACCTGGGGCATGGGAGGTAATTGGGGATGATGCAAGGAGAAAATAGCTTCAATTCCTTGGATCAAGAGCTCTTCATCGGCATCAATGCACCTCACTTGATGGGATTTATGACAAGACCTAACCTAACCAGCAACCAGGTTAGGTAAGGTCTGTCAGGAAACAGGACAGGTGTTTCCTGGTGCAGGTCTTAGTCATATGATGGCCCTCAGCTGGAGCTTCTGGTCATCTGACCAAGGCCTTCCACTGGCTTACTGGTCCATCCCTTTAAAAATTCTGCCTACATTATAACCATTAGATATAACCAGGTAACAAAGAGCTTGTTCAAGGTTACTCACATTGTAATTATGTACCATCCAGATAAATTAGGTTAAGTTTATCTAAGATACAGGAACATATAAAGACACAGTATTTAACCACAGATAACCACTCTGAAAATAAATGAAAGATAATGTGAGGAAGAAATAAGTTTATTTTGCTACAAGTACACATAAATAAATTACCACACATAGTAACATACATGTAAATTAACTAGGCTAACCCCCCCCCCAAAAAAAAGGTCAAAGTGACTTATTTCCATTAAGTCCTTGTAATATCATTATTTAGAGCCAAGCAATAAGATACAGGACCCCAATGTACATAAGTCAGTGTGTTTGACTTTTCTGGGTGATCCAAGGTGATTTATACACCTGGAGTTTACCTGGAGAGGGTATCGGGGATCAATGTCCCCACGGCCCGGTCTGAGACCAGGCCTCATGGTGGATCATGGTCTGATCAACCAGGCTGTCACTGCTGGCTGCATGTAACTATGTATGATAATTGAACTTATGTGTACATGTGCCTAAAAATGAACACTTACACTTACAGAAACTTACTTTATACCGTGTGTAGTGTCCACCTCACTTGGTAATAAATATCCTTCATTTACAGTGCCAATGTTCTTCATAAACTATATATATGGCAAATAAAAAAATACCTTTTAAGGACCCCAGTGGAAATAAGTAGCTATGACTTTTTTGGGGTCATAAAAGTTAAGATTATCTAGGCCTAGGTAAGATTATCTAGGCCTAGATAAGATTATCTAGGCCTAGGTAAGATTATCTAGGCCTAGGTAAGATTATCTAGGCCTAGGTAAGATTATCTAGGCTTAAGTAAGATTATCTAGGCCTAGATAAGATTATCTAGGCCTAGGTAAGATTATCTAGGCCTAGGTAAGATTATCTAGGCCTAGGTAAGATTATCTAGGCCTAGATAAGATTATCTAGGCCTAGGTAAGATTATCTAGGCCTAGGTAAGATTATCTAGGCCTAGGTAAGATTATCTAGGCCTAGATAAGATTATCTAGGCCTAGGTAAGATTATCTATGCCTAGGTAAATAAGTTGGTTCATGCACATACAAATTCAGTTACATAAATTATCTTACATAGCAGCACATTTGTAATTACTCAGGATAACATAAAAAGGACAAAGTGACTTATTTGTAATAAGTGTACTTAAGTGTACCTGTGCCAAAATAAACTTACACTACAAACGTTTTTTCACATTATATATATATACATATATGGCCTTAAAAATACCTTTTAGACTATAAATATAAAAAAAATGATTACCAGTAAACTCGTTTCCAATTATCATGGGTAAGCAATAAACCCGCAGGTATCACGTAGTCTATGGAAGGGGAGGCAATCAGACCCCATACAAAGTAAAGGGGGTATCTCAATTCCTTGGATCAAAAGCCCCTCAGCCCCTAGAGGGGTAAACCAAGTGCTGAGTTTACAGTCCTAGTGAGGAAACACTTAATAAAAAACACTAATAAAAGTATTACCTTATGGGTAATATTTGCTGGTTAATATTACAGTTATCTACTACAATATTATCCCCCGATCACTCGCGTTTAGTGGTTTTTTTTTAGATAAATATCGCGAGTGTAGCAACCATGGCCGCGTTCACCCCACCAGTGACGCACAACTACCAGTCAACAAGCACATTACTACAACTACCAGTCAACAAGCACATTACTACAACTACCAGTCAACAAGCGCACTTCTAAAACTACCAGTCAACAAGCACACTTCTACAACTACCAGTCAACCTGGAGTTTACCTGGAGAGAGTTTCGGGGGTCAACGCCCCCGCGGCCCGGTCTGTGACCAGGCCTCCTGGTGGATCAGCGCCTGATCAACCAGGCTGTTGCTGCTGGCTGCACGCAAACCAACGTACGAGCCACAGCCCGGCTGATCAGGAACTGCCTTTAGGTGCTTGTCCAGTGCCAGCTTGAAGACTGCCAGGGGTCTGTTGGTAATCCCCCTTATGTGTGCTGGGAGGCAGTTGAACAGTCTCGGTCCCCTGACACTTATTGTATGGTCTCTTAACGTGCTAGTGACACCCCTGCTTTTCATTGGGGGGATGGTGCATCGTCTGCCAAGTCTTTTGCTTTCGTAGTGAGTGATTTTCGTGTGCAAGTTCGGTACTAGTCCCTCTAGGATTTTTCCAGGTGTATATAATCATGTATCTCTCCCTCCTGCGTTCCAGGGAATACAGGTTTAGAAACCTCAAGCGCTCCCAGTAATTGAGGTGTTTTTATCTCCGTTATGCGCGCCGTGAAAGTTCTCTGTACATTTTCTAGGTCGGCAATTTCACCTGCCTTGAAAGGTGCTGTTAGAGTGCAGCAATATTCCAGCCTAGATAGAACAAGTGACCTGAAGAGTGTCATCATGGGCTTGGCCTCCCTAGTTTTGAAGGTTCTCATTATCCATCCTGTCATTTTTCTAGCAGATGCGATTGATACAATGTTATGGTCCTTGAAGGTGAGATCCTCCGACATAATCACTCCCAGGTCTTTGACGTTTGGTGTTTCGCTCTATTTTGTGGCCAGAATTTGTTTTGTACTCTGATGAAGATTTAATTTCCTCATGTTTACCATATCTGAGTAATTGAAATTTCTCATCGTTGAACTTCATATTGTTTTCTGCAGCCCACTGAAAGATTTGGTTGATGTCCGCCTGGAGCCTTGCAGTGTCTGCAATGGAAGACACTGTCATGCAGATTCGGGTGTCATCTGCAAAGGAAGAACGGTGCTGTGGCTGACATCCTTGTCTATGTCGGATATGAGGATGAGGAACAAGATGGGAGCTAGTACTGTGCCTTGTGGAACAGAGCTTTTCACCGTAGCTGCCTCGGACTTTACTCTGTTGACGACTACTCTCTGTGTTCTGTTAGTGAGGAAATTATAGATCCATCGACCAACTTTTCCTGTTTATTCCTTTAGGCGCGCATTTTGTGCGCTATTACGCCATGGTCACACTTGTCGAAGGCTTTTGCAAAGTCTGTATATATTACATCTGCATTCTTTTTGTCTTCTAGTGCATTTAGGACCTTGTCGTAAATGATCCAGTAGTTGAGACAGACAGGAGCGACCTGTTCTAAACCCATGTTGCCCTGGGTTGTGTAACTGATGGGTTTCTAGATGGGTGGTGATCTTGCTTCTTAGGACCCTTTCAAAGATTTTTATGATATGGGATGTTAGTGCTATTGGTCTGTAGTTCTTTGCTGTTGCTTTACTGCCCCCTTTGTGGAGTGGGGCTATGTCTGTTGTTTTTAGTAACTGAGGGACGACCCCCGTGTCCATGCTCCCTCTCCATAGGATGGAAAAGGCTCGTGATAGGGGCTTCTTGCAGTTCTTGATGAACACAGAGTTCCATGAGTCTGGCCCTGGGGCAGAGTGCATGGGCATGTCATTTATCGCCTGTTCGAAGTCATTTGGCGTCAGGATAACATCGGATAGGCTTGTGTTAATCAAATTTTGTGGCTCTCTCATAAAAAATTCATTTTGATCTTCGACTCTCAGTCTGGTTAGCGGCTTGCTAAAAACTGAGTCATATTGGGACTGAGTAGCTCACTCATTTCCTTGCTGTCATCTGTGTAGGACCCATCTTGTTTAAGTAGGGGCCCAATACTGGACGTTTTTCTCGATTTTGATTTGGCATAGGAGAAGAAATACTTTGGGTTTCTTTCGATTTCATTTATGGCTTTTAGTTCTTCCCGCGATTCCTGACTCCTAAAGGATTCTTTTAGCTTAAGTTCGATGCTTGCTATTTCTCTGACCAGTGTCTCCCTGCGCATTTCTGATATATTGACCTCTTTTAGCCGCTCTGTTATTCTTTTCCGTCGCCTGTAAAGGGAGCGCCTGTCTCTTTCTATTTTACATCTACTCCTCCTTTTTCTTAGAGGAATAAGCCTTGTGCATACATCGAGTGCCACCGAGTTAATCTGTTCTAGGCATAAGTTTGGGTCTGTGTTGCTTAGTATATCTTCCCAGCTTATAATCGGTTAGGACTTGGTTACTTGGTCCCACTTTATGTTTTTGTTATTGAAGTTGAATTTGGTGAATGCTCCCTCGTGACTAGTCTCTTTTTTGTCGGTCTGAGGCTCCACGCATACATGTCTGAACCTCAATTATGTTGTGATCTGAGTATATTGTTTTTTGATATGGTGACATTTCTTATCAGATCATCATTGTTAGTGAAGATGAGGTCTAGTGTATTCTCCAGTCTAGTAGGCTCTATTATTTGCTGGTTTAAATTGAATTTTGTGCAGAGATTTAAAACTCGTGTGAGTGTGAGTTTTCATCAGAGCTGCCTCCGGTGTTATTACTGCAACAATATTATTTGCTATATTCCTCCATTTTAGGTGCCTTAAGTTGAAATCCCCCAGGAGCAAGATGTTGGGTGCAGGAGCTGGAAGATTTTCCAGACAGTGGTCAATTTTTAACAGCTGTTCCTGGAATTGCTGGGATGTTGCATCCGGAGGCTTGTAGACTACCACAATGACTAGGTTTTGGTTCTCGACCTTTACTGCTAAAACTTCCACTACGTCATTTGAGGCATTAAGCAGTTCTGTGCAAACAAGTGACTCTGCAATGTACAGGCCAACCCCCCCCTTTTGCCTGTTCACTCTGTCACATCTGTATAGGTTGTAACCTGGGATCCATATTTCGTTGTCCAAGGGATCCTTTATGTGGGTCTCAGTGAAAGCCGCGAACATTGCCTTTGCCTCTGCAAGCATCCACGGATGAAAGGTATTTTGTTGTTTATTGCTGGCTTTAGACCCTGTATATTGCAAAGAAGAATGTTATCGGACTGGTGGTATTGTTGGTACTGGGGGGGATTTTTTTTCCGGCATTAGTATCTGTATCTGTTGGTTTGGAGTGGAGGCCATCGACTGTGGTTCCACTCCAGGAATGACTGGATTTGGTGTACGATTTCTGCCATTTCTGCCAGTTTTTTTTCCTTCCTGGCACTAAAAAACCTCTCCCTCTTGAGTGGCTGTGGCTACCCAGGTTTTCCCCATGGCCTGGATGTTTTGTATCTTTTTGTCCCCTTTAGATGGTATGCCTGGCAATTTAAGTTATAGCACAGTCTTTCCTGTACTGAAGAGGTACACATTTCAGGGTGAAAAAGCTTTACAGGAAGGGAGTTTGCATTTTCCTGTTGTCATATGGGCATGACATTTTCTAGGGTGGTCATAGTTGCATGTCCCATCTGTTTTTCCAGATTTCCCATGCCAGCAAGATACCAAGTGCATAGTATGTGCACAGGCTGGTTTCCGTTTGCCTTGGGTTTCTGTGACTGTATTCCCTGTTGGTGCATGTTTCCCTGTCTTATTCCTATCCTCCCTAGCACCAACAATGGAGCTCCCACCAGTTGTTTTTGGTAATTTATCCTCACTATTGCTATTGGAGTCCTCTTGTTTGCTATTTCCTGCGGTATTTCTGGTTTGCAATATTGGTTTTATCTTATCTTTGACTACACTTGTTTCCCTACTATGGCTCCAGTCAACAAGCGCACTTCTAAAACTACCAGTCAACAAGCACACTTCTACAACTACCAGTCAACAAGCACATTACTACAACTACCAGTCAACAAGCACACTTCTACAACTACCAGTCAACAAGCACATTACTACAACTACCAGTCAACAAGCACACTTCTACAACTACCAGTCAACAAGCACACTTCTACAACTACCAGTCAACAAGCACACTTCTACAACTACCAGTCAACAAGCGCACTTCTAAAACTACCAGTCAACAAGCACACTTCTACAATTACCAGTCAACAAGCACACTTCTACAACTACCAGTCAACAAGCACACTTCTACAACTACCAGTCAACAAGCACACTTCTACAACTACCAGTCAACAAGCACACTTCTACAACTACCAGTCAACAAGCACACTTCTAAAACTACCAGGCAACAAGCACACTTCTACAACTACCAGTCAACAAGCACACTTCTACAACTACCAGTCAACAAGCGCACTTCTAAAACTACCAGTCAACAAGCACACTTCTACAATTACCAGTCAACAAGCACACTTCTACAACTACCAGTCAACAAGCACACTTCTACAACTACCAGTCAACAAGCACATTACTACAACTACCAGTCAACAAGCACACTTCTACAACTACCAGTCAACAAGCACACTTCTACAACTACCAGTCAACAAGCACACTTCTACAACTACCAGTCAACAAGCGCACTTCTAAAACTACCAGTCAACAAGCACACTTCTACAATTACCAGTCAACAAGCACACTTCTACAACTACCAGTCAACAAGCACACTTCTAACAACTACCATCAACAAGCACACTTCTACAACTACCAGTCAACAAGCACACTTCTACAACTACCAGTCAACAAGCACACTTCTAAAACTACCAGGCAACAAGCACACTTCTACAACTACCAGTCAACAAGCACACTTCTACAACTACCAGTCAACAAACACACTTTTACAACTACCAGTCAACAAGCACACTTCTACAACTACCAGTCAACAAGCACACTTCTGCAACTACCAGTCAACAAGCACACTTCTACAACTACCAGTCAACAAGCACACTTCTACAACTACCAGTCAACAAGCACACTTCTACAACTACCAGTCAACAAGCACACTTCTACAACTACCAGTC